AAATTCGGTCATTAATTACTCACCCTAATGTCGTTCCAAACCCGTAAGACCTTCGTTCATCTTCGGAACACACGCGGAGGAGAAGAATAGTTGAATAAAGTGGTTTATTTTTTGGGGGGTTTTTGTGCACAAAAAGTATTCTCGTAGATTCGTAAAATTATGATTGAACCACTGATGTCACATGGACCATTTTAGTTGCTGTCTATGGAGGGTCAGAGAGCTCTCGGATTTCATCGGTGGCCATGGGTTCAAATTATTCTTTAGATTTTTTTACATTCAGCGCAAACAGCTGTTGTTGAGGCTTGCGCTGCCTGACTGTTTGTGAGAGACTTTCATGGAGAAATTAAATGTGTAACGGCACTCATAAAGAAATTCACAGAAACATAGAAACATACTGAGGTAAAAATTCAACATGTTTAGTTTATTTCTAACATGATGTATTTAAGTAACACCATGACAAGGGAGCTATTTTGCTGAATATTTTTATGAGTGCAAATATTACCTTGATTTTAGTTCAATTAACAAGTACATTTTAGACACAATATTGACTGTTTTGTTCTGTTTCACCAATGAAAATAGTTCCAAAGAAAGATGACAGCAGAAGTATTTCACATTCTCCAAGCATTGTTTCAATACAGCGTTTTGAACCAACCAATCAGTTAAATTAATAAGTGAATTCCCATCATCTACTGGCGGTTTAGTGTATTTAAAAGTATGATTTTTCCTCAGCATATCTTTTTTGTATAGGCCTATTAAAAAATGTATTGCAGTTGTAATTTTGCACTGTAATTTTAATTTGATTGGCGACAGCCCTATAGTGCATTTTGATTTTCCTTTTTTTGTTAACTAATAATTTGACATTAAAGATGATGCATACATTTAATAAGGTTAAAAAATATTGGCCTTTATTAAGGTAAATAACATCCTGGAGTAAATATAAAAAATAAAAAAGCTTTTGTGAGGATATTTTGTATGGGATATTGTCTGCTGATATGAAAAGTTCATTGTATGGTAATAATGAATAGCATTTTTGACAGTGATAATATCATCCTGATAACCAGGGGAAAAAGTTTTCAAGTTTTGTGAAATTAGGCTTTTATTGTCATTACATTACACTGTAGGGGACATTTTATTTTTTGTTCAAAAAATGTTTTAAATAAAATGACAAAGACATGTATAGGCCAAATCAATTGAGATTTTTTTTTTTTTTTTTTCATTCACCAATCAATTTTTAGGTTTCAGGATTTTCGTTAACCAAACTTTGTATAAAGATGATCCTCAACTATGTTATGAAAGATAAAACAAACTGCTATGCTTAGGTCTCAGGAGGATATTTTGTTTTCTTTTTACATTAAATGCATTAAATATCACACATGCCTGTAATATAATGTGTATTTCCATCACAGGTTTGGTCTTAAATTTCACGAAAGGTGGTATTAAAAAGGTCTGTAGACACCCTGATATAATTCTCAATTCTTTTTTTTTTTTCCCTCAGAATTGTAATGTATAAACACACAGTTGCAAGAAAATGTCAGAATTGTGAGCTGACATTTTTCCTGTCAAAATGTGACAATTGCAACTTTTTATCTCACAATTCTGGGAAAAGTAACTGGCACGCATGCATTCAAATACAGTGCCACTTTATATCTGATTTCAAATGAGCAGAAATCTGTAAGAAATATTATGACCACAGACAAAATAAATGATGAAAATTAGCTGTTATGTCGGAGCAATATCCTAGCCTTGTGACCCACGTTCTGACATATACTACAGCTGTGCACAAGGTGACCCGAGTTCAAGTCTCGTCTCAAGGTTCAGGCTTTTCAAGCCAATGTCAAAGTTTGTTTACAAATTTGGCCTCTAGTTGTGTTATTAATGTATAATGGATTATGTAGATGTGTTTTAAATTATAGAAACAATATAGATACTCATAAGGTGTCATATGTATACTTTCAATAAATTAGTCTTTACATAGTTTCTGAATACTAATTAGGCTTGCTAATTTAGAAAGTTTTTTAGTATTGTTTGTGATCTTAAGATGTAATATGTATTTGTATTCTTTCTGTTTACACTTCTTTCTGTATGCTCCTCTGTTATAGGCCATGAGGAAGAACTCTATCATGCACACAGAGAATAGGGCTCAGTGCTGCTAACTGGGAGAGCAGCTGGAAAACTGGAGGAGAAGAACAGTTGAACAACTATTAATACTGACGACTGTATTATTTTTCTGCAAGAACCACAACAAGCAAAGACAATGATGAGCACTCTGAGCAAACAACAGTCAGATGCAGTTCTTCAACATGTGATGCTGAGCATTTACAGTTTGTAAAACTACTAATAAATTAAGTGAATGCCCATTATAAACCTGTTCGATTTTGATGTTTTATTTTTGAGATTAATAAAATTGTATGTTTTTTTTTTTTTTGAGTGTTTAGGATTCTGGGAACAAAAATAAAACTTCCCGCTAAAAACTTTATAAGAATGTTAAGGGATAAAGTTCTAATAATGTTAACTTATGACTAAACATTTATAGAAGGTCATCACAGAACTTTTTTAGAGTGTTTTAGAGAATGTCATCCTACCTTTTAGAAGAACGTTCTGGGAACAAAAATAAAACTAAAAACTTGTTAAGAATGTTAGGGAATGATGTTCTAACAATGTTATCACTAATGTTACGGAATACTGTTTTAACAATGTTGTCACTAAACATTTTTAGAATGTTTTTAGAGAATGTTATCCTATCTTTTGAGAGAACGTTCTGGGAACAAAAATAAAACTACCCGCTAAAAACATTGTAAGAAAGTTAGGGAATAATGTTCTAACAATGTTATCACTAATTATTTTTAGAATGTTTTTAGAGAATGTTATCCTATCTTATAGGAAAATGTTCTGGGAACAAAAATAAAACTACCCGCTAAAAACTTTATAAGAATGTTACGGAATACTGTTTTAACAATGTTGTCACTAAACATTTTTAGAATGTTTTTAGAGAATGTTATCCTATCTTTTGAGAGAACATTCTGGGAACAAAAATTAAACTACCCGCTAAAAATATTGTAAGAATGTTAGGGAATGATGTTCTAACAATGTTATCGCTAAACATTTTTAGAATGTTTGAAGAGAATGTTTTCCTATCTTATAGCAGAACGTTCTGGGAACAAAAATAAAACTACCCGCTAAAAACATTGCTAGAACAATGCATGGTAATGTTCTTAGAACATTTTTAGAACAAAAAATTTCTAGCTGGGATGTTCCGAAAGAAAGGTCCTGATCTTCCTAATGTTGTATTTTATATATACACATTTATTTCATAGTGGTGGGCCGCTTGGACCAAAAATGCCAGGGCTGATTTTTTTGTCCAAGTCCAGTCCTGGTCTGCAAGCATGTCTAAGATGTGCATCTTAATTGCTGAATAATAACCTCCTGAATTGCAAAAAGTATTAAATAAAAAATAACAACACTTGTAACAGCATGCCGATTTGGGACTTCTGGGTGGGGACACATCTTACTCCAGAGGTTTGATATTCGGTTATTCATCTTGCACAGAAGCTGAAATAAAGAAAATAATCTTTTGGTTGTCATTTCTAGAAAAAGATTTTAATATTAGTCTTAAAATGAATATGTTGCTAAATTCTTATTTCATAAAATAGTATGTACTCACATGGAGTAGGGGAGTAATTAACCTGTGACACAGATCCTTGTCCTGAATTAGAATAACACAATAATTAGAGAGTAACACTACAGAAAGACACAACTGCATATGGGGAACTTTAAAAAAGTGTCTCTAAAGGAACTGAAGTGTGTATTTTTCTAATTGACAATTAGATGTAATGAACTGTACAAATTATTTACCAGCACGTCTCTTCCTCCATATGATGAGTGCAGTTATGAGAACAACCACACACATGAACACCAGCACACTGAAAACTACAGACTGCGTAAATGATCCTGGGTCAGACTCAGCCACATCTGAAAATGTTGCGGAAAAAACAAAACAAACAAACAAAAAATAGTGATATAAACAACAAGAAAGGGAATCTATAAGCTGCAGAGAGATATTGGAATGGTGACAACTAGGGATGTAACGATATTATTAATATTGTGATGTCGCGATAGCAAAACTATCTCGATATTATCGTGGTCACATGACGATATGAAACGATAGGTCTTCCGGGCAAAAAGTGTAGTTTTTAAAATATATTTAAACTTCTTATTCTAACATTAAAAGTATTTAAAATTGTGTTTTGGGCCATTATGCTTGGGCACAGTGCTGTATCTGTCAAACGAACTAAAACCGAAAGCACAATATGGCTTAATCCCTTCATCAAGTCTGTTTTCGCTGCGAGTTTCAAAGCGAAGCGGACACATTGTTGAGGAAATCAGCTCAGCTCGTGATTCGGTGTTTTCCGGACCTAAGAATGGCTCAGTTCACAATGAATGCAGTGAACTCGTTTATTGCATGTGCTGTGAGTTTAGCACGCGTTTGGGAACGCAACGGCCACCAGTTAGGCTTTATTTTCGCAGCAGATGATTACAGCATTTCACTAGATTTGTAGTGAGACACGTTTTTGTAAGCATATTTTCATTGAAGCTGGAGTTTTCCTTCAAAATAAAGGCTCTACTGCAGTTTCCGTCAAAATAAAAACTTAAAAGTGCAGTATGAATTGCTGCCACCAAGCGGTTTAAATGCAGTCCAAATATCTTTCAAGTGTAGAAATAGAAAAGAAGTATTGTAATTTCCCAACTGCAGTGTAAAGCAAAAATAATATACCTATACAATATTAATTTTCATTAATATTACAGTGCAATTGTTTTACAAAATATGGCTATTATTGTCATAAGAATAACAATAATATAAAATTATTGTTATTATTATTATATTCTAATTTGTTTGGCTTCCTAAAACACCAGTGTGGATGTAATTTAGACTGAGACAGTATTCCACAACTAAAAAGAGGGTCGAGTCCAATTTAAAGTTCAGGTACAAGTCAATTCACTGACTTTTTACGGGGAAGTCGTGGCCTAATGGTTAGAGAGTCAGACTACCCAAAGGTTGCGACCCTGAGGAGTCTCAGGTCCAGCAGGGATTGTAGGTGGGGGGAGTGAATGTACAGCGCTCTCTTCCACCTTCAATACCACGACTGAGGTGCCCTTGAGCAAAGCACCTAACCCCCAACTGCGCCCCGGGCGCCGCAGCATAAATGGCTGCCCACTGCTCCGGGTGTGTGTTCACGGTGTGTGTGTGTTCACTGCTGTGTGTGTGCACTTAGGATGGGTTAAATGCAGAGCACTAATTCCTAGTATGGGTAACCATACTTGGCCACATGTCACGTCACTTTTTCCTGACTTTAAAGGGATTTTACTTAAACTTGCCATTTCAAGTTTTCCTTCGTCTTTGGAGTGTTACAAGCATAGATAAGATCTGTAAAGTTGCAAAGACTAAAGTCTCAAACCCAAAGAGATATTCTTTATAAAATTTAAGACTCGTCCACACCTACCTAAAACGCCTCATTTAAACAAGCCCCTACATATCTACGTCACTGTGTGGGAAGATTTGCATAACATCGCCCAAATGTTTACGCAAAGAAAGAAGGCGTAACTTTTATTCTCGCTGTAGTATTGTTGCCGCCGCCACCATGTCGTGGAGACACTGTTTCGATGCAAAAGAGAATCTTCTTTGTTTGGCCTTTCAAAAGATGACACAACTAGAAATCAGTGGTTAAGTTGTATTTACAACACTGTTCCAGAACAGTTCAACCCAAATATTCAAGTGTGTGCAGCGCATTTTACGGAGGACTGTTTCCTGAACCTGGGAGAGTAGCCTACACTGCCGGCTGTGCACAAAGGCTGTTTCTAAAAAGTGGGGCAATTCCAACTTTGCAAGGACAGTCTGGCGCTTCTGACTCACAGCCTGTAAGTATATTTTCATATTTAAAGAATTTGCCACTGACTATTCAAGTGCTTGTTTGTTTTTTGTCATTTGTCCGATCACAAATTTGCAGACATGGTTTTGTTTATGCGGCGCGATGCAACGCAACGCATAAAAAGACAGTATAAAAAATTCCCCCGCAAAAGACCTACCATATTTCGCCGAACACCGAGGTCCTGTGATAATATTAGTCCCGTGCGAATCAGCATCTCTGTGATTTGGCCAGCATTTGGCGGGTCGCATATCATTATTCGAGGTTTTTGTTTGCGGTGCGCCTTTTTATCCATCTTTCGCGAAGAATGGAGCTGCGTTGGAGTGTTTGATAGTATTTTGGGTGCTGTCATCATATCGCTACACCATACAATTTGCAGAAAGAGAAAGCTGAAAAGGTTTTGAAGTTAATGTGTTACAAATAAATCAAGCATAAAGCTTGCGATATTATTTTAATCTGGTGAAATGTAAATGACACAGTGCACAAAACTATATTAGTTTCTTTTTTTTTTAAATCCATCTGGACCATAGAACGGGACTCTCAAAGCCTTGACATACGGGTATCCGGGAGACAAGTCAGTAAATTCGAGTAAAATCACAGGCTTCGCTTATCCCGTGCGAATGCACCACACGAAATTCAGATGTGGGGGGGTAATTTCAAAATCACACAAGGTCCCCAGATAATACTAATCCCGTGCGAATAGGGCTTAAGTCATTATAATCAGTAATTGACCGTTCGCAAAGACCTTAGTTACTGTTGCCATCTCGCTCTCACACTACACACCATGTTCTCGCGCAGTGAAAAATACATCGCAGAGCAAAGAGAAAACTGACAACGTGCCGACAGACAACACAGAGCAGGTTACTTCTCGTATGAAACAATGTCTCAGGACTCTCAGCTTTCAAATTTTTATATTTTTAAAGAAATTCAAACAATAAATACCGTTTTGTGGCTCTTTAATGTGTCGTGACAGATCTGCCTCAGTTCAAACACGTGAACCGGTCGTCTTTTCATATTTACGTAAAGCACGAAATGAACATGAATAAACATCAGAAAGTATTTTATTTAAACCGCGGAACACACCACTTTTCAAGTTTAAATCCACCGAAGTTAATCTACTCTCCTGTCTGATTTGTGGTTAAGGCTAGAAGGGATAAAGCTGCGGCTGCATGTGCATTTACATATTTTCAGAGGTGACAATATAACATGAAACCTATGAAAATGGTTTAAAAAAGCACATGGCGCCATACCCCGTTGAAAAAAACAGCATATGCTGGTTAGGTATGATTTCTTAAGCTAGTCGGACCAGCTCAAACCTGCATCCCAGCTTCAAAACATACCTAACCAGCATATGCTGTTTTTTTCAACAGGGTAGTTTCATCACTATAGAGCAGGGGTGGCGAACGTCGGTCCTGGAGAGCCGCAGCCCTGCAGAGTTTTGCTTCAACCCTAATCAAACACACCTGAACAAGCTAATCAAGGTTGGAGTTTAACTCTGCAGGGCAGCGGCTTTCCAGGACCGGAGTTCGCCACCCCTGCTATAGAGTGTCGTAGTGACCACCTTTTTGCAGTAAAGGACCTGTCATAGTTTGATGAGTGGGAAGATGACATGAAGCGACACGAGGTTAGCTGCATTGAAAACAGATGAGCGCACATGTACATATACAGCTCCCGATCGGGGCGAATTTAACAGGATTTTGTCCACAGAATGATAAGAGCACACGTTTTAACATATTATTTTACACTCAGAATTTTAACTTAAGCGCTGCAAGCCATGCATACAGCACAGAACACGACAGATTTTCTGGTACGCAAAACAAGTACTTTAAAGGAATTCCTTAGCTTACTGCCGTTACTGTGGCAGCCAACAACAGCTTAGCTTAACCCTCTGCACATTTTTATACTTAGCTATATTGAAAAAGTTTCAATTCAGTCAATCATTTTTATCCCGTTTTAACATGGATTTCTATGGAGACCGGCCGTAGATGTCGAGTAAGATGGCGGATAGCAGCAGCGGCACATATTATCAGCGTTTTGATTGGTCAGATCGCCTGTCAATCAAGCTCGCTGCGAACAGTCAATTATGTCCCCACTGGATGCAACAAATGCCTCATTTGTAATGGGTTTTATTGGTTTTGTTTTGTCTCGTCGCGCCGGGACAGGGCATCACAATATGGTAAGGGGCGTAACATTTCCGTCACACGCTTGAGGTATTCGGCCAATCACAACGCACTGGATAGCTGGCCAATCAGAGCACACCTCGCTTTTCAGACCGATGAGCTTTGAAAAAAATCGACGCGTTTCAGAAAGGCGGGTCATAGAGAAGAAACAATGTACAATATGTGGAAAATATTGTTTTTTTAACCTTAAACCGCATAAACTCATTGCATTATACCAAATACATAAAATAATGTTCTTTTTAGCAACATCATATGACCCCTTTAAGTTTTCTTAGTTATGAACATGGGTTAGAGCTATTAATTTTGAACTCTCAAAGTGCATTAGATAGAATAATTAAAAATTAAAAATGTTAAAATTTACAAAAAAAATTTTTTTTTCTATTCTTTATTTGTCTTTTTTATATATCGCAATAAATATTGTACCGTGGACGTCATATCACGATATTATCATATCGTGAGATTTTGATATTGTTACATCCCTAGTGACAACCGATTTGCAACAAAAAGTGTTGTTTTCTCCTGTTTCATTGCATTGTATGTAACGACAAAGTAGTTTTAATCTAATGTGTACTTTGTTGTTAGCAGAGTTTTGTTTGTTTAATTGTTTGTTGGTTTTTCTTTACCAAAAATAATGTCCAGTTTGTTGTCCAGATTGAGGTGCTTCATTGTGCAGTTGTATTTATGTTCCTCACGTAGCTCTTCTTCACTGATCACCAAACTCTTCCTCATCTGGTACGTTCCATCTCCGTTGGGCAGAATCTCTCCTCCTGTGATCTGATCATCATCCACAGGCTGACCATCTCTGAACAGGGTCAGGTTAATGTGACGGGGGTAAAAACCAGTGGCCAGACAGCTGATCTGAAGCCCTTGAGAGTCTGAGAGCGTCTTCTTAATGAGTCTGACTCTGGGTTTCACTACAGAGAAGGATGAGAAGTGTTACTGTCGGTAAAGTGTTCGGTTTGTTCAGGCATTAAATCATGATTCCGCATTCAGAGGCAGATGCATTGTTTGTTAGTACAGCTGTCTGGGTCATGTATGTCAATTATGATCTTTTCTACAACCCCAATTCTAGAGAAGTTGGGACGTTTTGTAAAATGCAATAAAATCAAGAATCTGTGATTTGTTAATTCTCTTTAACTTTATTTAACTGACAAAAGTACAAAGAAAAGATTTCCAAAGTTTTCACTGACCAACTGAAAACCTTCACCTGCTTACTGTGAACTGTTTCAAAACAGTTTAATTTGAATATTCTATAACCTTTTCACTTTTATTTTGTCTCTGTCCCAATATTTTTGGAGTGTGTTACAGCCATCAAAATCAAAATTTGTTCATATTTTCAAAAGACATTTACGTTGGTCTGTGAAAACTTTGGGAATTTTTTCTTTGTACCTTTGTCAATTAAATAAAAGTTCAAGAGAATTAATAAATCACAGATTCTTGATTTTATTGCATTTTACAAAATGTCCCAAATTCTCTGGAATAGCGGTTGTATATTAATTATACTGATTCTCTGACCTTTTCTCATCACATTTTTCTTTTCCATTTCCAGGTACCTCCGCAAGGTTTTCATGCAAACAGGATGATAAACATGTTCATACATATACTTTATACGAAGATGTTTCACTTGGTTCCACATTGTCATCCATGGCTTTTTCATCTGGATATAATTTTTTTCACTGTCAAAGGTGAACTCCTCCACATTTTGTCCATCGAAGGCATCCCATGTCTGCAGCAGACCTGGTTTATCATTGATCAACAATTCACATCCAGCAAGTCTTTGATGAACATGTACACCTTTAAATAAAAGAAGATATTTAATTAAGACTTATTAGTACTCACTGACATAGTACAGTCTAAAATAGTGAACTGAAAAGGAACATACTAGACTTTTTATGATTACTCTTTTACATCAAAATCTTTTCATGAAATAATAAACATGTGAAAACTACATTTTTTATGTGTTAATACTGATATGTAGACTATAGCTCTCACCATTTGCACCATCTGTGTGATTTAGGTGATTATTAAGAAAAAATGCTCGATCTCTCATGCTGTTATACATGTCATCAAATACGGCACCAGCATCCCTTTGCTCTTCATCATAGTCTTTTGAATCTCTGTGAGAACGAAGGACAACTTTCCATGCGGTTGAGTTATAATATAACATTTGCACATCATCCAACATCAGCACAACACTGAACTCAGGAAATTGTGTTTGTCCAACTATATATGTTGCAAAAGCCATCAGTGAGTGAGAACCTGCGGATACACAAGGACAAGCATATAATATTAGTACAGTATCAAATTATATAGACCATTACATGTTAAAATACATTTCTGCACAGTGCACACACCTACAGAAAGACATTCGGCTTGTTCGACTTGAAGCGGCTCTGCGCAGAATGATCAGTGTATGCAGGGCTTGACATTAACTTTTTTGCTCACCAGCCACTGTGGCTAGTGGTTTTCTACACCGCAGACAGCTCACATAAACACGAACACATGCTGAATTGAGTGCTGTGCCTGCCTGTGATGAGGAGATTGTGAATAAAAAAAATGAATATTAGTCGAATTTAAAATAAGCATTTGCATTTGAATGCAATAGTGGTACAATCGAATGCTAGGAGTGCGTCAGGGAGCATCATCAGTGGTGCGCGAGATAAGGGTGATGATGATGTAAGTGACGTTGCATTTGAATGTTTTGTTAGTCTAGCCCACGAGACGCGCCGCTGCTGTGTTATTCGTTCAAAATATTAGAGAAATATAGTAGCTCAATGCGTAGAAAATCTTGATTAGGTTAAAACCGAAACCAAGCCATTCACACAGAACGCATATTCAGCACATTTTTACACGGACAAATATGACTGCTGCACTCGCGTCTCATGCAAGAGATGCAAAGAAAGTCATGCAAAGTTAAAACAGTTTTAACGTTTAGAAAACACGACGCGAATTTGTAAAGGTTTATTTAATTTCACTGTGTCTTATATGTTTTTAAATGCAATCTGTGTGATCGGCGATTTGGCTCTTTGTATTAGGCTAAGCAATGCATAAACATGATGCTGTTAGTTCATAATTGTTTATGCAGTTTACAAAATTATATTTGATTTATATATGTTAATTTAGACGTTATGCACGTTTTTAAAGACAGTTATTTGAATTGACAATTAATGTGCTGCATTATTTTGCTCATTGCGCCCTCCGGTGGCCTCGGGAAACAAGTCAAAAGTTTCCGCAAGATTTATTTAATCTGCATATAAAACATAAGGAGATATTTGTTTACATTTTATTTTGTGTTTGACTGTAAAAAAAATAAAATAAAATTTTATATATATATATATATATATATATATTTGTTGTTTCTCTTAATAAAGTGGGCAAATTAAAAATAGTGGTTAAATTTAAAATTTTTTTTAAAAACGGTTATAAAAAATGTCAATAATTATCGATACTAAAATAACGAAGGAGTGGCTTCACAACAACTCTGTGACTGTTCTTGAATGGCCCAGCCAGAGCCCTGACTTAAACCCAATTGAGCATCTCTGGAGAGACCTAAAAATGGCTGTCCACCAACGTTTACCATCCAACCTGACAGAACTGGAGAGGATCTGCAAGGAGGAATGGCAGAGGATCCCCAAATCCAGGTGTGAAAAACTTGTTGCATCTTTCCCAAAAAGACTCATGGCTGTATTAGATCAAAAGGGTGCTTCTACTAAATACTGAGCAAAGGGTCTGAATACTTAGGACCATGTGATATTTCAGTTTTTCTTTTTTAATAAATCTGCAAAAATGTCAACGATTCTGTGTTTTTCTGTCAATATGGGGTGCTGTGTGTACATTAATGAGGAAAAAAATTAACTTAAATGATTTTAGCAAATGGCTGCAATATAACAAAGAGTGAAAAATTGAAGGGGGTCTGAATACTTTCCGTACCCACTGTGTATATATATAGATAGATAGATAGATAGATAGATAGATATAGATATACACACACACACACACAAAACTATGAAATGTTAGAAAAAATGCAAAGATAAGCTAGTAAACCGCCAGTAGGTGGCAGCAAGTGACTGTCTTAATGAGTCATTGAAGCATGCCTTTAAACGATTCGTTCAGATGGCTGATAGATTCAAGAATGAAGCAAGTGCCTGTCTTTATGACTGGACCACTGAATCATTGACTCAAATTATTCAAAATTCAAAAACGCGAATCATTCATTAACAAAACACAGCTGTGTGTTGCTCAGAGATGTGCGACTGTTCTGCTGTGATCTTTGATTTTCATTAACCAAATCAAGCAATAAATTCAAATTCAAATATTGAACAAAAATGTATATTAACTAGGCCTACACGTTTTAACTCTTGTATAAAATGCCATATTTGCAATCGTGGTTTTCAGGGAAAACCGTCACTCTCCTGGTCATGTCATGTTGCTTAATAGGCTGTATGTTATAATATAAAAACTAAGTTACATTTTTATGTTTCTTCTGTGTGCAGTTGTGCTTCATTTGTTTTAATTTCTCCACGAGATTGTTTCACATACAGACAGGCTGTGTGAGCCTCAACTGGCGCGACCTTGTTGTTGTTAATTATCCATTAGGCTATCAATTGCCGTTTACACCGAATGTAATCAAATCAGAATCATTCTCGCCGAAATTTCAGTGCTTCCCTAATTAGAAGTTTTAATCAGATTAGTTGTCCGGTCGGGCAAGTAAAATTCTCTTCTTTCATTTGCCCCTTCAAAAAATCCACTTGTCCCACAATAATTAATGTCGAGCTCTGTTACTGTATATAAAATTCAACCCGCCGAAGTGGCTAGTGGAAGTGACCATGTTACCCGCCACCACTGAAATCCACCCGCATTTGGCGGGTTGGCTGGTGTTAATAGGCTTGTTTGACATGAGCTAAATCTGCGCAGAACCGATCACCGTGAGATGCATGCCAGTTAGAAAAGTGTCCGAGTTACGTCCGACTTGCTCTGATGTCAAACTGCCGTGTGCCAAAAAACTCTCGCGACGGCGAGGCGGCTGTCAGATTGTGCAGTCGAGCGCAGTTGCTCTCCACCGACTGCTCTGACCAAAAGCATGATGGGAAACCATGAATATTCCCAAACACTATGACAGTGCGATCTCTGTGTGAGATATGTGATTGTTGTCATATTTCTACGAAAATCTAAAATACATCTTTGTATTAAAGTAAAAATGAATGATAAATACGCCTTTCGTACGGAATTAAATAGCAAGCACTTTGAGTGTCTTGTTGATCTTATTTATTTTATATAAAGGCAACAGAACTGAAATTATATCATGTTAATCAGCAGCACAGCACATGAGTGAGAATGTGATATCTGCCTTTGATCTCGTTGGTATCTGTTCACTTCGAGGGGTCAGAACTGTCCGTCTTGACTGCACTTATCTCACTCCTCCCCTCACTGCAGCCGCCTGCTCTCGTCTACATTTCAGGCGAGGCGAGGCGCATCTCAAACAAGCCTAATGTCAAGCCCTGAGTGTATGGCATCCAAGTACCGCGAGAGCGATAAGAGAGCAGACGGATCCTTATGCCGAGTTCACACTGCACGATTTTAGCCTGATTTTTCACTCGCCGACAGGTTTTGTTTGCGGACCAGACAGAGCTGTCGGCGATTCTTCCTATTGTAAAGTCATGCAGTGTGTAACCTCCGGTCGCCGATCCATCGTGCAATGTGAACACAGCAGCGACTGACTGCTACCCTAGATAGTCACGCAGTGTGAAAACCACAGTGACCCAACGACTTTGAAAATCGTGCAGTGTGAACTCGGCATTATGCCAAGTTCACGCTGCACGATTTTGCCAGATTTTTCACTCGCCGACAGGTTTTGATAAATCGCCGACAAATGCCCGAAATCGGAGGCAAATCGGTGCTCATTCACGCGAGTGACAATCACGCAGTGTAAATTATCAAAGACGCGATCTGAGAGAATCGCCGATGTGTCGCCGACGCCCGTGAAATATTTGGCATGCTAAATATCTGGACCTGTCGCGATGCACAATCCTGCTGTGTGAAATGAGTTCTGACTGAAAAATACATCGGCTATGACCTACAGTCAATGAGAGAGCTCATTTTCTTTTTTATCACTTTGAGGGCTTTTGTAGGCTATAAGAAATAAACTCATTATAAAATGCACAAAAAGTTTGTTTCACTTTCAAGTAGCCATTAGATTTGTGTAGGCTATATAAAATTTTCCCAGCAGAAGTATGTTGTTAACAAGGAAGTAATCTTTGTTAATTGTTGTGTGTTCCTGGAGGGCTTTTTACAGACCATAATATCAGCGTGATCTTGCATTATTCTCGTGTGCGTTTGGCTGTAGTTTGTGGCTCAGACAGTTGTCGTCGGCGATTCTTCCTATTGTAAATTCATGCAGTGTGTAACCTCTTGTCGCCGATCCATCATGCAATCCAGACTCATTCTCTTCTACAATGAATGTAACATTATATATGCTAAACATTACATCACATATTTGTAAATTGCAAAGTCAATCAGATAAGTTGCCATCCACATTGATATATAAGAGAAGTGAGATTTCTCTTGAGAACCTTGTACCAAATCAAGCGAGAAAAAGATTTGAATGGATGCTGCAGCAATGTTTCTACAGGGTGTAATATGTAGGCTAAATATTCGAAACCATTTGTGACCATACTAATAAAGAAGGTGGCTATTTGGCGGTATTGTAGGGGGTATTTAAGGGGGTTAAAAAGCCCCAAAGTAACGCAATTACCATATCCCATATCAAGACATATTTTGAGTTATTTCCTTACCTAAAATATATATTTTAGTCACCCTTATGCAGATTGATCATAAACACAGCTAAAAGGCTTCCTACCAGTGGCCATCCTTCACAAAACTTAACATCTTGCACAGTTTTATCATAGGTAGAATGCAAAATGTTTCAATACAAACATTTCAGTAAAATGCATTTTATGCAATATTTCAAACATTTAACCCACGGGGGGAAATAAACCCACCGCAACAGTTTAAAAGTAGCCTAATTATGTGGGGGGGGATTGCGAATTTGGCAACCCTGCATCCAACACAAGCTGCAGGAGGCAGATATGACCCAGCCAACACACCCATGTGGGGCCCATAGGGGTTGCAACTGGGCTGATATCTGGGGCCCACCTGGGCTACCCAACTGGGACCCAGCTAAGTCAAGAGTAAGGAGAGATGACTGACAGACCATACTGGAGGATTTGCTGCTCAACAGATAATAAGCTCATTGACAAATATCTTATCTTGTAAGATGTGCTCCCTTTATAACAGAGTGCGCGGGATCGAACAGCGAGCTCATTCAGAAGAGATTTAAATACTCTGCATGCGATAGCGGCTCCCTGATGCGCGAAAATGATATGCAATGTACCCTTTTCACATTCCCGGGTTTCTCAACAGCATAAGTCGCCATAGTTGGGTTAACTTGAATAGTAGTGAATGGGAGAGTACCACAAATATATTTTTTGCATTCCCATTTGCTCAAATATCAAAATAAAATCTCCACGATAGTGTTTTCATGACTTTCAATCAAAGGAAAAAAATTGAGAGAGACTGATAACGGCTGTCAGAAGAGAGAACGTTGTCAAATTTACCGTCCCTCCCCATAGACGCTGCATTAGAAACACCCTCGCATTAACGTTAACTGTTTTTTTGTAATTTGATGCAGGTGATATAATACACACAAATATATTTTTTGCATTCCCATTTGCTCAAATATCAAAATAAAATCTCCACGATAGTGTTTTCATGACTTTCAATCAAAGGAAAAAAATTGAGAGAGACTGATAACGGCTGTCAGAAGAGAGAACGTTGTCAAATTTACCGTCCCTCCCCATAGACGCTGCATTAGAAACACCCTCGCATTAACGTTAACTGTTTTTTTGTAATTTGATGCAAAGGTGATATAATACAAAGAATAGTGTTATAAATGTAGATACATTTAAAAAATATATATAAATATGAAAAACTTTCGAGGATTTACGATGCTGATGACCGTTAAACGCGTCATCACAGTCTTGTGAAAAGGGTCCATATTATAATGTTTGCGTGAGCGGGCGGTAATGGTCAGAAATTCAGCTGGAGCGGGATTCAGAAAACAGTCCCGCGCAGGTCTCTAATACAAAAACGTACACAATGAATGCCGACTGTAGAAAGCAAAACCGAATCCCGGATATTTTGGGCGATTTAGACATTTTTTTAGGTCCAAAAAGAGGACATGTCCGGGGAAAAGAGGACGTATGGTCATCCTATATTTAGTGTAAATAGACACTCCGTAAAAGTTATAGGAAAGCTGTAAATTAACTTACCTGCACTAACGACTGTCAAGCATGACAGCAGAAACAGAAGCAGGAACATTGTCTTAATTAATGAATCCAGGTCCACATGAAAAAAAAAACAGGTGTCTTTTATCGTCCATTGCGCATTCTCATCAGGGAATACAGTGAAGTGCTCTTTCGCCTGTGCTAATGCTGCCTTCACCTGCTATCGGAAATTTCCTATTTCCCACTTATGAAGTCGTGATTACGAACTTGTCGTATTCAAGTGCTTTAGCGCTCTCTCCCACCTTCAACACCACGAATGAGGGACACTTGAGCAAGGCACCGAACCCCCAACTGCTCCCCGGGCGCCGCAGCGAAAAAAAAAAAAGGATGCCCACTGCTCCGGGTGTGTGCTCACGATGTGTGTGCACTTAGGATGGGTTAAATGCAGAGCACTAATTCCGAGTATGGGTCATCATACTTGGCCACATGTCACGTCACTTTCACTTTAATGTCGGAAAGAATAAAATGTAGCATCCCATTGGTTGACAATCATATAAACATTCACCGCACTATACATGCAGTTTGCTGACAATTCTGGAATTTCGGTCAAATACTTATCACTGCTTATGAAACATACAATATGATTCGAATGATCGTTCATATCTAGCCTATAAATACACTACTTTAGCGACAAGACAAAGGGATGTAGTTGCTGTGAGAACAGCATTGACAGCAGCAATGGTTGTCCCTTCCACCAGCCATGTTTAAAGTTTATGACCCGCCCAACTCGGAAACTCTGGTATCAAAATTATTTCCGAATTTCCCAGTAGTAAATACGACTTGAGAGACCGTTCACGTCCAATTTCCGACTAGGAAACTCGTATTTACGATAATTCCGATAGCATATGAAGGCAGCATTACTACATACGACATGTTTTCTTCTTCTTCTTCTTTTGATTTAATGGCGAGTTGCGAACCAACTTCAAAGGTGCATATCGCCACCTACTGTGATGGAGTGTGAAAAGAATGAACAAACCCTCGAGTCCTATATCCTATTATATAACCCATTATTCTTAATAAATCTCATGACTGCATGCATTTGTTTTCCTGAATTTGGACCGTCATTTAATAAGCTGGTTGTAGTAAATTCCTGACATCCTACTGCTTGTAATTCTTCCTTAAGAATCCTCCTTTCTATTTCATATATCTTACATATCTTCATAACATGCTCTACAGTTTCCTCTATTAAACAGACATCACATAGACCCGTGTTATGTTTCCCTATAATGTGTAAAGTATGATTTAGATTTGAATGTCCTGTTCGTAAATGTGTGAAAATAACTTGTTCTTTTCTACTTAAGTTGTGAATTATTTTGCTTTTCTTTATGGTTTTTTGAACCTTGTAATAGTGTCGACCTGTATGACATGAGTCCCAAACTGTCTGCCATTTCCTATTGCATGCTTCTAAAATAAAATGTTTTCCTTCTGATCTACTGAGTGCAATGTTTATATTTGGTTCTTTCATTTTAATTGATTCTTTGGCAATTTTGTCTGCTTCCTCATTACCTTGAATTCCCACGTGTGCTGGTACCCACATAAATTGAATTATTATTCTCATCTGTCGTAAACTGTATAACCTAATCATGATTTCAGTTAAAATGTCAGTTCTATTTGTTTCCAATGATTGTAAACTCATAAGGACTGCCATTGACCCAGGTGAAAAAGACGTAGTATTAATGTATTAAAAATATACTTGAAATTCAAGTATGTTTATAATACATTTGTATTCCCAACATGCTTATTTGTAGTGCAATAAAAATCTATTGAATTGCATTTTTATCGTGAAGGCGCTGTGTGTTTCGTTGTGAAAGCGAAACTACTTTGTTTGGTCTTCCAAAAGTGGATGATATCCGCTTCGTCATGCCTAGAGCTGATCCGTGCTGGTCGCTGAGGAAATACATCAACTTCGCGCTGTCGATCGCCGGATCGGCTTTCACCGTGGACGAAGCGGAGTCCAGCCCAGATTTGTGTATAAAGATCAGCGTACTACTCTCACCTTTTCTCATCACATTGTTCTTTTTCATTTGCAGGTAACTCTGCAAAACTTTAATGCAAACAGGATGATATACGTTTTTATATAAAAATTTCATATGAGCAAACTGTAAATTGTCCCACATTATCCATGGCAATTCAATTTGGAAATGATTTTTCTCCTCGTTGAAAATGAACTCCTCTTTATTTTTTTGATCAAAAGCATCCCATGTCTGAAGTGGACCTGGTTTATCATCATTCAATAATTCACATCCAGCAAGTCTCTGGTGAACATGTACACCTTTCAAAGGATAAAAACACAGCCCACAACACTTAGATTTCTATACTCCGTTTTCTTTTTTTCTGGACTTGTGCTAATAAGGATACAGTTAGTACTGGTATTAGTAAACGTGATTTACATTACCATCATAATTTATGCACGTTAATGTTCTCACCGTCTGTGTGATTTAGGTGCTCCTTAAGATAAAATGCTCAACCTTTCATGTCGTTGTACATATCAAGAAATATGACACCAGCATCACTTTTCTCTTCATCGTAGTGTTTTGAATCATCCCCAGTCAACAATTTGATCTCACAATGATGTCACCATGAGCTCACACGATTCTCATGGTGTGGTCACAATGTGTGTGTCACAGTGAGCTAAAAGTGTAACCACACAGCGCACTCACTGTGTGCTCGTGTGAACTCACAATGATTTCATATACTACTCACACCGTGAGGATCACAGTATGAGGATCGTGTGATGTCACTGTGATCATCGCATGATCTCACGTGTTGACTGGGTCATAAGAGCGATGGACAGCTTGCCGTGTGATCGAGTCGTAGTACATTACTTGAAGATCATCCAGCATCACTACGGCACTGAACTCTGGAAATGGTGTCTGTCCGATTATATATGTTGCGAACGCCATCAGTGAGTGAGAACCTTTGGAAAGTAGTAATACAGGTATAGTATGGTGTCATATGAGACATTTCGTGATAAACGAGAATTCACTCGGCAAACTCTATGCTTTCGCTTTTACGTAATTTCACTTTCGAGAAGGCTTTTTCATCTGAGTAAAACGGCTAAATTAAAAGAGATGATTTAAACACATTTTACGGCTATATTGCTGCACAAGCTGCACTATATTGTGATTAAATGCTTCTAAACGTTTTCTACTTTTAGTTGTTCACAGCCTATAGTATCTACGGCGAATGGTTAAAAGCACATCTGTAGAAGCAAAGAACATCTGTAATCTTACTTACCTGCTCTAACCGCTAAAAAAATATGTCATAGATATAAACGAGCATTATTGCCTGTGTACAGTAGTGTGTTTTCTCGAGTCTCTTCGAACAACTAAGACCCCCTTTTCTGAGCTTTATAACGCCTGTCTGGACATCCCCTGTTGACCGCTGGGGGCACGAAGGCTACTGTTAACTCATCAGTTCTATTCATGCTGAGATTTAGGTCTCATGTATTTTTATGTCACAATCTTTAACATTCAGTGCAAATAGCAATTGCCAAACCTCATCTAAATTATTACTGCATTTTATTTTCATTGTTCTCACTTGTGTCATGTTTGCAGTTCCCACTAATAGCCGTAGTCTATTAATTTTTAACCATTGTTCTAAAGTTGTGCAAGTTCATGACTGAAATTCCAAGTCTTGTTTATTTTAAACTTGACATTTTCTGATTTGTCAGATGAGTCCATACATAGCCTACAGATTTGGTTATTCTGATCAAATATCAAAGAAAAGTAGAAAAGGCAGCACATTGAAAAAAAAGTACAATATGAATAGTAGCATACATATGCATAAATAGTAAAAAATACAAAAGTACATGACACATTCTGATGGTAAAAAATGAAAAGCATGAAACAGATTTTTCGTCATTCACATATACAGTTTCCTAGCTAGTCAAACAACACTATTTATTGTAGCAACATGCATCACGCATAATAACTGGACACGTGTTTATAGAAATGATGAGAAGACAAAAATAATGTGGGAAGTGAACCTGACTCGACAGTGCAAAATTTGAATTAATATTATAGGCTTGCCACAGTGAATTGGGATAAGGCATGAAGATGAATTTGGACACTTGTTTTTATATACTTGCTCAGTTTTCTTAATAAAAAAAATCACATTAAGGGTCTGTATTTGAAATTCACTCATGAGCAGGGGCGGTTTCTCCATTAGGGCGATTGGGCGACGCACCAGCAAAGCGCGAAAGGGAGGGATTTTCTTTCTTTCACACTCAACCACAGTGTTACGCTACCTTTCACTGTTTGTTCTGCCTCTAAGTAGTCCAATCAGCGTCGAGTCGCGTTTTGTGTAGTACCGCCCCTTTTTGGGCAATTGCTGTTAGACTGAGAATCGCCCTGAGTGCTCTCATAGACTTCCATACACAGATACTTTTTTTCGAAATGCAGGCACTGCAATGCAATCTCTATGAGTTCCGGGAGGGCTAGCACTAACGTGCTTTCGTCATCATGCGTAACCTTAACTTGTGCAAGGATTGGTGGGAACAGTGACATCCAATAATATTTAAAAACTATTTTGAATGTTAACAACAAGAAAAAAATGAAAAACTACTTTAATATCTTTATCAAATGTGAAAAAAGAAGAAAAAAAAACGAAAGAAAAAAAAAACAGAGAGACGGGGACAGCTATGCCAAGTTTGCCAACTCAAATTCAGTTGTCAGTTGAACTTGATCGACATCTTGGCGAACGTTACCTCAGCGCAGATGAAT